TTGCAGCATTGTAGCTATGATCTTCTATCTTTTAAAGATTTAGGCTAGTGACAGTTCACTAGTGTAGCATATTCTGGAATATTTTTGTTTCTGTCATAAGTCTAATGCCACAAAAGTTCTATGCATCTCATTGTCATTCTTAGCTTGCAGAAGTAAACTGAGTAGTTGAGAACTCCTTGCATCCCTTAAGAAAATTCTTTACTTCCTATTGCGCTCAGAATAAAATCAAAGTTCATTTTCATCACCTATAAAGCCATAGCTACTTCTCTATTAAATGAATGAAAGCCAACAAATGCAAAGTCTTTTGACTATGCAGTCTGTATGTTTAAAAATCTTCTTTTCCAATCGTAGTAATTGATTACATGGAGTCAAATAAGCCATACCAACTAAACTCCAGAATTCACTGGGGAAAGAAAAAGGGAACTGACTTGTATTGAACACCTACCATACTCAATGTCAGGCATGTTTGTGTACACATCAACCTTGAGAGGCAGGCATTATCATTCTCATTTTTCAGTTAGGCCAATTGGGAATCAGAGTGGTTTACGATTTTTCAAGGTAACTAGGTGACAAGTAAAAGAACATGAATTCAATCCCAGGCAGGTTTGAAGAGCCGAAATCTATGAAATCGAAATGTATTGTCTTACAGGTATAGACAATGTTTGGAATACAAACTCTTTGTTTATTCATTCATTTAGTTTTTCAACAAATATTTGTTGGATGTCAGTGGTCTAGTAGGTATCCTGCAAGAGGCAAGTAGAAAAGAGAAAGAAGCAGAAAGAAACCAGAAATGGTCCTTGCTGCTGGGAGTTTATACCAGAGTGGGCGGCTAGACTTTCTGCAAATAATCATGATAATGACTATGTGTAATATTCAATTACTGAATATAAAATGTAACCTGATGTAATCGAACACAATTTTATAAAAGTGTATTAAAATAGAAAAAAGAGAATTGAGGTCAGGTAAGGCTTCCTGGGGTAGTAATCATTGAAACTGAAGGATGATTAACAGTTAAATAGACAAAAAAAAAAAAAAGAAAGAAAAGAAAAGAAAAGAAAAAACCCAGGAAAATGAGGTGGCGTTGTTTCCTTGGAAGAGAAAACAACTTTTGCAATGGCTCGATAACTGATTGGGGATTTTCTAAGGTACAAGATACTGAGAGAGGAAGATTAAACATGAGGCTGAACTTGCAGGCCCCATAGGCTATGCAAAAGTGAAGGTGTATCGATGTAAACGGAATCATATCTTCCACTAATAAAGCCTTTGTTTACTATTGAAATTGTCAGAGAGGCATTGGAACCACAGTTACTCCATCTTGAATAAGGGCTAAGTGAAAAAGCTGAGACCTACTGGGCTGTATTCCCAGGAGGCTGGGGAAAATTAGTCACAAGATGAGATAGGAGTTTGGCACAAGAGACAGGTAACAAAGATCCTGCTGACAAAATAGGATGAGGTAGAGAAGCTGGCTGAACACCACCAAAAGCAAGATGGTGATGAAAGTGACCTCTGGTTGTCCTTGTTGCTTATTATATGCTAATTATAATGTATTAGCCTGCTAAAAGACACTCCCATCAGCTTCATGACAGTTTGCAAATGCCATGACAGTGTCCAGAAGTTCCCATATTGTCTAAAATGAGGAGGAACCTTCAGTTCTGGGAAATCTGTGCCCTTTTCCCAGAAAGCTCATGAATAATTCACCCCTCGTTTAACACATAATCAAGAAATAACTATAAGTATGTTCATTCGAACAGTCCATACCACTGCTCTGTCCATGGAGAAGCCAATGGTTTGTTTCTTTACTTCTCTGCTTTCATTTGACTCTGTGGACTTGCGCCTGATTCTTTCTTGCATAAGATCCAAGAACCCTCTCTTGGGTTATGGATCAGGACCCCTTTCTGGTAACGAACGTCTAGGCTAAGCTGAAAACAGTGGTGTCTGCCATGGACCTGGTATCCATTACTAAGGCATTGGTACCATGTCACTGAACATGAAGTAAAGGGAATGATAAGCTCTTCTTTATTTGTTTATTCTTTTTTTTCGTAAATCACACAGAAAAGCAAATCATTGATCCTCGTTGAAGCTTATAATACAGTGGAGAAAGTAACTCCTATGTAAATATCTCTGATCTACAGAACAAAAGCTGCAAATGTCATGGACAAAGAGAGGGAAAAGTTGCTAAATGCTGAAGCAGCTGGGGTGGGGATGGAAGGCAGATGTTAGCTAGGGATATGTTCCTGGAGGAAGCACTAGTCCAGTTAGGTCTTAAAGGATGAGTAATACTAGAATATTCAGAGGTGGGAGAGAGTGGCTTTCTAGTCTGCCATAGTAAAGCCTGGCCTATAGAGAATGCCATGAAAGAAAATAGCCATAAAGGGAAACTTCATGAATGTATAAAAATAAACTGATTCCAAATTAGAAAGTTTCTTTGAAGATGGCAATACGTAGGGATTATTGCTGAAAGAAGAGTCATCACTAGAGGAGGGCATAGGGAAACACATATACATGGTAGAGTTGCAGAAATGAGACTCTTTCTGGGAGAGTACACTTGAAATGAGTTGACTGAGATTTGCATATGGAAATAGGCAGCTTTGGTACAATCAAAATAATTAAAAGGCTTCCTTTCTCAGCTGGGGTGTTTTCATCTCCATGTTAAACTGTTGGGGGAAGGAAGTGTTTTACTGATTTCATCAGTCAGTTTTGGGGCACCTTAAGAAGTGAAGAGTGCGAAAAGGCAGGGATGGAAGAGGTGCATTTCACAATTCTCTTCCCATAATGCTCACACCCTACCACATCATTCACCCTAAGAAAGAAGCACCTGAGATTTCCTCATATAAACTGTAAGAGCAACTGCCTTTGTTGCCTCTATGGCTCCCAAGATAACATCATTCAGTGGTTGTGACAAAGGCTGGTGAGGAAAGAGAATCGGGGGATCTGAATGCTGGTTTTCATGTCTCTCAAGTGTTAACCACCTCTTTCAAGTTGTATACCCTGCCTTTCTTATTGGTTTAATCCCTGTGGTTTTGAGAAACCTCTGCTTCTTCATCTTCTGATGCTATTGTGAACGTTTAGCATTTCGATTTGCTGATCACATTCTTCCTTGTCACAGTAGTCAATATGGTTGTCTCCATGATTCTGGTTTTGCTGTGCATGCCCTGAGAGGTACATATGAGTGCCATAAATGAGGCTCTTTTCCTCCCTTCAGAACTTTTTGATTTGGAGCAATAAATCCTCTATTCCTCAGGTGACGGCTTTAGATATAGCATCTGTTTCCTGAATTCATCCCTTGTTTCTCACTTTCTTTCTATCTCACATGTTTAGCCTTTCATTTTCTCAATAGCTTTTGAAATATTTATGATGTCTGGAACCTGTTTCTTAGTACCTGCTTCCTGAACATTCAAAAAGTGCTGTCATGCTGTGGTAACAGAAATGTGGGAAAAGGTGTCCAAGGTGCAGTTACCAATTTGTGCTCTACAGTTCCTCAGCATTTTAGTTTACCAGCCACCCACTGTCACCTTTCATTTTTCCAGGTTCACTGGAGCTGTTCCATGATACAAGGTTTTCCTGATGTATAGCATCTAAAAGATTCCAGAAAAATTAAATGTGTTTCCTCAAAAAAATAAAAAAATAAAAAAAAAGACAGGGGTCTTGCTGTCTTGGGAAATACAGACATGGTAAGAATGAGACAGATCCTTTTTGTTTGAAGTCAGTTCTCCTCTGGGATCACTTCACTGGTTCCATCTGCAATTGCTTCTTTTTGCTAAATGCCTCACTATTTGATCAGAAACAGCCTGCTTTTGATTCAGCTGGAAAATGTGACTGCTTTTGTGCTTAACATTTAGTTTTGTGTTTTTCTTCTTGTAGTCTCACATTGGGTTTCATTCATCCATTCATTTAACATTTAAGGAACACCCACAGGGGGCCTGGCACCACTCTAGGTTCTGGAAGAAATGGGGAGAAGAGGGTCCTGTCCAACGCAGAGGAGACTCAGCTCCTATAGTGAGTTGTTTGGGAGGCACTTATTCTTTTTTGGCATCCTGGATAATGAAGACTATTGAAAGGGGAAGTTTCCTTTAACTTCAAAGGGTGTTTTGTGCATATATGAGGCTCCCTGAGGGGCCAAAGAGAAATAGAGCTAGAATTAGAGTGAGAGTGGGTTAAGCTGAATGTAAAAGAGAAAAAGTCGGATGTTAAAAATATCTCAACAGGAATAAACAAACAGCATCAGCTGTGTCTTATTATATTGTAGTGAAGACTGTAGAGGGCAGGAGGTGAAAGAGAAGTGAAATAAACACTGATTAATATTCGGGAGGCACAGGAGATTTATCATCTAAATAGAAACAAAGGAATTATCTCTGTGGTGCTGGTTTTGGGACTAGCCAGAAATAGAAGACCAAGCTGAAATCTCCCGATGTATTGATGGCTGTTAGCAAACCTGTTCCAAAAGCAGCAATATGAATTTTATAAACCAGCAAAGTATCACACTACCAGTTACTTATTTACTGCTCTAGGAAGCAGCTTACAGCTGCATCCATTTGTTACAAAGAGGCATTGCATTAGTCAAGAAAATAAAGGATTTTTAGAAATCGACCATGACAGATTTCTTAATAAGATAAAATATTGTTGTAATGGAACAAATGAAACACAAATAGGCAAATGCTAGAATACAAAGGAATTTGCTTAGGATGTAAATATTTTTATGTACTAATACAAAAGTATAGGTGTACGTACTTTGAGAATTTAAAATTAGTGCAAATGTATCTGAGTAGGTAAGCAGATAAGTAAGAGAAAGTTTCTGTCTCTTCACATAACCCATAACCTGTTGTCAACAGTTACCTAAACTGCATTTTAACTTTTATGAGACTCTGTGACCTGTCATTTGAATATGACCGTCACATTTGCTTTCATACCTGAAAAAGACAAATTATCTGCTTGTAACCCGGCTTCTAAAGAAAGTTCTGAAAGACTTTTGTAGAGTTATACATATTCTTTATATTTTGCAAAGGATTGGATTTTTATTTTATTGTGGCAATGTCAATATATTTTGGTAATTTGAAGAAAAGATAATTAGGAACTGATGCAGAAGCAACACCAGTACATATAGAATATTATTAATTTATAAAAAGAGAAGAACGGAGAGCTGAGAGTTAACCCAATAAACAAGCACATAATTTTGGTAAGCCTCAATGTTCCCACAACTGTGAATATTTAACCATGTACAGTTTTACCTCCACAAACCACAGCAATTATAACGAACATATTTTAAACCATCCAAATTTGGGAGACAGTCAAGTACATGCAGACAGTCTAATTTTGATATTCCGAAGACTCCACTCTAAAGTTATAAATATACTCATTTCAAGGAAGTAAAACAATATTGCAAGTGTTGTAACCTCCCAAAATGTAACAAGTACATGTGGATAAAAAATAAAAACACATTTTTTACTTCTATGTTAATATTAAACATTTTCAAGTATAGGAATCTTTTTTTGCTCAGTGCACAAATTCCAGAAAATAAAAATGTTAAATCTATCCAACGTATCCTAGTTTCCTATAATAAATTATCACAAAATCCATGGCTTAAAGCAACACATTTATTCTCTTACACTTTTGAAGGTCAGAAGTCAAAAATCATTATCACTAGGCAGAGAAATTGAGGTGTCAGCAGGACCAAGCTCCTTCCTGAGGCTCCAGGGAAGAATATATTCCTTGCCTCTTCTAGCTTTGGATGGGTGCCAGCATTCCTTGGCTGGCAACAAGGTGCCACAACACTTCCTTCTTCAAGGCTAGCCTCTTCTCATCTCTCTCTTCTTCATCTTCTTATCACCTTCTCCTCTGTGTTTATGTGTGTCAGTATCCCTTTGTCTCCATATTTTATAATAGATGAGTACGGTTGCATTTTTCAGGAAAGTCTTCTCATCTCAAGATCCTAAACACATCTGTGAAGACCCCTTTTGTTCATATAAGTTAACATTTAAAAGGTGCAAGCACATTCAGACTTAGATAGCTCTTGATGGGCCATTTATTAGCTTACCATAGATTTATGTAACAATTGAAAAATTTGATCATTGAAACCCAGACAGAAGGGTCCAGACTTATGTAACAATTAAAAATCCTTCAATAAATATTTACTTGACAACAGCTAGCATGGTAGGCTGAAAGGATAATTGCAAATGAGACAGGTATGATTCCTGTTCTCACAGAGCTTACCTGGTGGCTGCTGATAGCTTCCAGTTTTCCATGAACTAGATGGACAGACATCTTAAGAGACTGGATGATACTTGCTAAACTGGTAGTTTGAAAACCAGTGAGAAGGTTGGCAATTGCTTTTGTGGGAAATAGAGGTAAAAGAGAAAAGATTACAGACAAGTAACATTTGGGGGATTCTTTGAAGATCCAGGTGCGGTAGCTATTAGTGTTCTTCATCCAGTATTTCCCCAGAGTTTGTGTCCCTCCAAGCCCATGGCAAAATTTCCCTTCTTATTCCCCGTGTAACTGTTTCTAGACAATGAATTAATTGAATGGCCTAGTGACACTTCTAGAAAGATTTAAATGTCCAGTGAAAACCCTCCAAACCTCTCTTCTCCTGTCACAACAACTGACAAATGCTCCAAACAGTGGCAGCTGTGTCTTGAGTTTGACATGGAAAAGAACCCACACCAATGAACATAAAGAGTGAAGAAGAAATATACCTTTGCTTTAAGCTATAGATAGTTTAGAGGTAATACCGCAGTCTAACCAGCAGTTTATGGTGACATTCATTAGATGAGCTGTTTGGTTCTTTTTGTCCATGCTCAGGAGCAGGAGCGAAATAACACAGAATGTAGGTAGCTCATATCATTCCAGGTTGTTATGTGCCTGAGCAGGGAGGGCAGTAGGGGTATACAAAGAGAAGACATGCTTAGTTACAAATCTTATAGCTCTAGCCTTTTGTGTGGTGGTGGTGGTTGTTATATCCAGTTGCTTTAGTTAGAAAAAAAGAAAAGAATATTAATGAATGTGGCATGACACTAAAGGTTTAAAGACCATGAAAATAATACATCATCTCCTCTGATCTTCATATTAACAATTTGATCCAATAAAATGTTTCCATTTTTGGCTGGGTGGGGAGGGTCACTTCTATAATCCCAGCACTTTGGAAGGCCGAGGCTTACAGATCACAAGGTCAGGAGTTGGAGACCAGCATGGCCAATATGGTGAAACCCCATCTCTACTAAAAATACAAAAATTAACTGGGTGTGGTGGCATATGCCTGTAATCCCAGCTACTCAGGAGGCTGACACAGAAGAATAGCTTGAACCAGGGAGGTGGAGGTGGCAGTGAGCTGAGAATGTGCCACTGCACTCCAGCCTGCGACAGAGCAAGACTCCATCTCAAAAAAAAAGAAAGAAAAATTAAAGTTTGTATTTTATTTTATTTGTTGTATTTTGATAGAAGGCAAATTTTCAAAAATTTAATTATTTAGTCAACAAAGCACCTACTTATTCTTAGCTACTGTGCTAGCTGCTAGGTATGGTACCACAGTGCCCAGAAGAGTCAGCAGTAAGTGAGATGAGCTTAGCATAGGATCTCATGGAGTGTATAGAAAAATTGAAACAAAATATTGTTCTGAATCCCAGACAAAATGATTTTTTAATTAATTTCAGATTCTGTTTTTCTACCATGACATGTGTCTTATTAATTACTAAATAATCTAATTCAACTATTAGGAATAAGAGGTTTTAGAATGCCTTATGGAACAATCCCAACATCATTTTATTAGATTTATTTGGTACTACATAAAATAGGCATGAAACAATAACAAAAGGTGACTTTTTTCCTTTTCAGTGTGAAGATAAATGTTACAAGTCTATAGGGAGAGTAAATTGCAAGTATACAAGCCTGTAATCCCAGCACTTCGGGAGGCCAAGGCAGGTGGATCACAAGGTCAAGAGATCGAGACCATCCTGGCCAACACAGTGAAACCTTGTCTCTCCTAAAAATATAAAAAAATTTAGCTGGCCATGGTAGTGTGTGCTTGTAGTCTCAGCTACGCAGGATGCTGAGGCAGGAGAATTGCTTGAACCCAGAAGGCGAAGGTTGCAATGAGCTGACATCGCGCCACTGCACTCCAACCTGGCACCCGGCGACAGAGACTCTGTCTCAAGAAAAAAAAAAAAGAAAAATCGAGTATAGGAGTTATAGAAAAACCTGACGCTTCTACTTTTGCACTGAATTCTGACATCTGGTTGTTCTGTAAGTCTCTAAACTCACTGACAGTAGAGATAAACAGCTGTTATGTAAGTAATTGGGTTATTTAGACGTAGGCACTGTTAGCCTAAGCTGCTAAATTTCGATGTCTTTCTCCTGTAAGTATTCCTTTCATTGTCTCTCATAGAAACCAAATGAAGAAGAGGAAAAATGACTTTCCTTCTATACTTCTAAGTTCGTGGCTGAGGCCTCTATAACAAAAGATAAAATAACAAGTGAAAAGCATAGTTCATTTAATATAAGGTTTACATAATGGGAAGCTCCAAAAAATGAAGACCCAAAGAAATAGTTAACCCTGCGCATTTTTCTATCAATACGTTTGATGGAGAGTGAACAGTAGTAAATACATACTATAGGACAGAACACAGACTAAGTGTATTATACTGGGGGAAACTTAGCAAGGCCAGTTTGTTCAATTTCCTCTTTGGTCTTTGGAGCTAAGGATGCTACTGTTTTTCTGAGTATAGTAAGGGCACCTCTCACATCTGGGTCTCATAACCTGCTTCTGGAAAAGGTCAGAAAATCCTTCCCAGGTTTCATAACCTGCTTCAGGGGAAAGTGTCAAGGGAAGGTCTGAGACCTTCCTGCTTCTGCCATTTTCTCAGATTCCTTTAGCTTAAAATATGCAATAAGCCAAGGTGCCATATTTTGACACAGTGTGTCCTGAACACCATCATAAATATGATTTCATTATTTGAAATAAAAAAACAAATTTCCTGGATTTTGTTAAATTGCTGACGTATGGCCCAGCATGGTGGCTCACGCCTGTAATCCCAGCACTTTGGGATGCAAAGGAGGACAGATCACGTGGTCAGGAGTTAGAAGCCAGCCTGGCCAACATGGTGAAACCCTGTCTCTACTAAGAAAAAAAAAAAAAAAAAAACAATAGTGGAGCATGGTATTGCATGCCTGTAATCCTAGCTACTGGGGAGGCTGAGTCAGGATAATGGCTTGAGGGAAGGAATCTGGCAGAATGACATGCAGAGAACTATTTTCTTCATTTCAATATCTCAGCCTCAGAGTGTGAAAGTTTTCCTGAGCCTTGATATATCAGCATTGTGGTCCAAAGCAGGTTGAACCTGAGAAGGGTTTCCACTCTTGGCTCTCCACTTTCTCCTTACTATCAAGCTAAACAAAGATGATAGGTGTGCTCTATCATCTTGCACTACGCCTAGAGAGGCAGCAAAACCCAAGAGGGGAATAGGTCTAGACCAGATTTCTCAACCTGGCTGTGACTGACATTTTGAAATGAACAATCTTTCGTTGTAGTGAGACTATTCTAGACATTGTAGGTTGTTTTGCAGCAATTCTGGCCCTTACCTATTAAATTTCAATTTCACCTTCCACCCCCGTTGTGATAATCACAAATATATCAAGATGTTACCAAATGTCTCTTAAGTAGAAGTGGTGTGGCAAAAACACCCTTAGTTGAGAACCACATGTGACAAGGTAGATCAGTTCCTGACAAGTCCCAATACAGACTCCTTTGTCCATGCTGCTGGGTATTAAGACCTGCTTCAATGTCTCTCAAGAATGCTTGAAGGCCAATTTAAGTTTATAACTTCCCAGGTAAGCAAACCTATAAAGTAAGTCAGCTCTCAGTATGTCTTCAAGATGTGCCTGTTATATTTATCCTTCCCAGGAAGTCATTAGCTTTAAGACTGACCAACAAAGCATTTTTTCTCTACTGACCGAAGACAGACTACTGAGGACTAAACACTTTTTTTTTAAGAGAATTTATTCACATTGCCATGTGAACTCTAGAAAGCTTAATACATAAAATTTTAGCTAAGAGTTTTTGAAAATATTGTCTTGGAATTGGTTGTCCTATCCATTATTTTCCTTGGTTTTAAAATTTACACAGTCTCTACCACCAGAACATATTAAAGGTGATTACTAATAAAAACCACTACATAAAATAGCCACATACAGTGGCTCATGCCTGTAATCCCAGCACTTTGGGAGGCCGAGGCGGGTGGATCATGAGGTCAAGAGATCGAGACCATCCTGGTCAACAAGGTGAAACCCTGTCTCTACTAAAAGTCCAAAAAATTAGCTGGGCATGGTGGCACGTGCCTGTAATCCCAGCTACTCAGGAGGCTGAGACAGGAGAATTGCTTGAACCCAGGAGGCGGAGGTTGCGGTGAGCTGAGATCGCACCATTGCACTCCAGCCTGGGTACCAAGAGCAAAACTCCATCTCAAAAAAAATAAATAAATAAAAATAGCCACATAAACTAAAAAATAAAAAGAGATAAGAATTTGTATGGAAGAAATTTTATTTTCTGAAAATTATTTATGCCAGAGACTACAAGTTAGCGTTGCCCACCTGAGTTTCCTGGAAGGTAGGGTAAAATAAAAATGAGACGTTAGAAGGTTATCATCTCATAATCAAATCATTTTGATGGTGATCCAGGAAAGCTAAAGGGAGAAGTGGATCTTGGCTTGGTAAGACTTTCGGAATCTTTATAATCACATTGTTGTCTACTCTAATACAGTAGGTTTACCCGTGTATCCTCATCTTTACTGCTATTAAAAAATAAAGACAAGGATTAGCTGCTCTCTCATTTATTGACATACATGTAATATTTTTATTTTCTGAAAAAGTCATTAACACACTGACTTATTGAGCTCTATTTTGTTCATAATTAAATTGTATGGGTTTTATGAATAGGAAATATGTGCATGGTAAACATGTTCAAAAGACCTAACTGTGTAAAAAGTTAAAAATAAGTGAACTTTCCCTTCCTAAATAACTTCCCAGTTTCCTTTCCCAGAGGCAATCATTGTTATCAGCTAAAGTTTCTTTCTGGAGATATTTTATGCATAAACAAATACACACACACACACACATCTTTATACACATGGCATTGCCCTGTGTATAAAATCCTAACAAATGAAAAAGAAATTGGATTTTTAAGGTAAAAATTAACTTTGATTTATAAGCCAGATTTTAAATATGACTCACATTTGACCATTTAACCCCTGCTTCTGGGACACATTAATCTTGGGCATACAAAATACGGACATATTCTGAGTCATGTCCCTTACTTTGCTGGTTTTCGCCAGTCTGAATTTCTGTGCCTCTAGCTCCCTTTAAGTCTCTTCCACTTACCTTTTGTGGTCCACATGTGGTGTCTTGCCTGTGTGGACAAACATGTCTCAGCTTACCCCAGCCACCAAGAGTCTGCACACTTCAGGCACTCCCACTAAAGCTGGGTGAAGTGTTTGGACATTTCCTCTGTTGCTCACAAGTTAGTCTCTGCTCTTTCTTACCCCACCCTCCTGGTAAAGACCTGTGTTGCTGCCAGATATGGTTCTTGCTGCTCTACTGGGTCATGACTGGAGAAACCGTGTGTGTTGTTCTCTGCAAAACAGAAGATGCTGATTCACCTTTTTGGCTTCTCCCAGGCTCTCGTTGCTAACCACCCAGGCTCCCTGCAGATTTGGTCACATTTAGTCAGCCACTTGGCAACAGCATTTGGAGGTTTCATTTTTTACCGGATGTTTATGAACAGCCCTACAAATCTCGGCGTTTTGGCTGGGCATCCTCTATGTGCTAGTTTCTTTTTCCCGGATGTCCAAGGGAGCATATTGTTCCTTCAATAAAAAAGCTCCTTATGCCTCTACCTCAATAGGCCACCAGGTATGTCTAGATTTCTCTGACACTTGAAATAAACACAATTCATCCTCAAAACCAAATTTCCAACTACTTACACAAATGACTTTGCGCTAACCTTCATGTCGGCCTCTTTCTGGTTCCTCTCCTGTTTCTTTGCCTGCTACTATTTGAAATAAGAGAAGAGAAGAAGCCACAGTAACTCTGGATTTTCCTCTTTACCTCCCGACTTCAGTTAAATCTCCTGGTTGTGCTAGATGCTTCCTTATGTTTATATTTAGACCACTTGATCTAACTTTGATTTCCTTTTTGCAGAAGGTAGACACGTTTTATAGTGATTGTTGTGCAGACAGCCTCAGGATGTTTTCGCTTTCATGGTAATCTCACATGATATTTTCCACTGTTATTTATCTATGCAGAACTTTCAAAATTGTACCATTTTGGTGGAATGCTAGCTAAGATCATGAGTTATGACTACATCTGGCAATATTACACTCAGCATACAAACTTACATTCTAAAAAATTTTCTATTAAAGTAATAGAAAAATATTCTGGTGATTTTGGTCAAATTCTTTCTTCATTTGGTTGGTGGTAAATCAGTATGTTTACTTCCCCTTAATGTATCCTTTTAGCTTTCTGCCTTCAGAGTTTAGCCATGTTGACGCATGCTTGTAATCCCAGCTCCTCGAGGCTGAGACATGAGAATTGCCTGAACCCTGGAGGTTGAAGTTACAGTGAGCCCAGGTTGTGCCGCTGCACTCCAGCCTGGGTGACAGAGCAAGACTGTCTTAAGCAAGATCTTATTCTAATAGATAACCCTTCATTTGTTCTCCTTTTATGTTATGATATCTCTATCTAGTTTTGATGCAGATTCCTTTCTTATTTTGGCTCATTTTCTAATAGGGCCAAAAGAGCTGTCAGGATAAGCTCTTTGCTGAAGAATAGCATGAGACGAAATTATCTCTCTAAATACTTTCTTACCCCATCAAATATGAGCAGAGGTATACACCATCATCAACTCAGTGCTTTGAGCGTTTTAGGTGAAATGGAAATAAGCTTGGACTAGAGTGAGTCATTTTTCATAAGCTTTTGTTTTCAATTACCTTAGATTTTTGCATCTAGTGTTCCAAGCTCAGCTGTTGTGACACTGACTGTCCCCTTCACTCCTATATGCAGTCTTGCTCTTGTGAATATGTACTTACTCCTTGTGTGACCTCATTTTTGGCCACCCGGCAATGTGGAATAAGGCTCACAGATTTTTTCATGGCTCATTCAGATAATTCAGCTTCTCATCTCAAATAAGTGATGAATCATCATCAACTATTTAGGGTTACAGACATTTCAGTGTGTACCATCCAGTTTGGTGCCTATTCACATATATAGATGTAGATGCAAACATAGACAAAGAGACAGACACAGATGCAGACACACAGACATGGACATAGATATAACGGAGATACAGTTCAGGCCTCATGACACAAATTGGCCCCAATATCACTGTTCTTGGCAGCTATTTATAGATTAAGACTTGCAATGAAGTTGATTTTTCATGCCATCAGTGAAGATAGAAAATTCTTATTTGAGCTTCATGCATTTTGTAGTTTTGATAGGTCTCAGAGAAGAAAGTGACATAGAAATGCCTTGATTCTGTCAGTTCAAGCAATAAGATTCTTTTACATATATTAAAAAATTAAAACTAAATTGTTGAAGAAGAACACATTTTACCTAAAATTTCTTTTTGAATGTTTATGGTACTCTTATTGACATAAAAGACAGTATAGTTTAGAAAATTATTTAAAAGACTAAGTGGACATCTGGAAGGCCATAATTATCATAAACTCTGTGCAGTAAGTGATGGGTTTTTAACATTCCAAATGAGCCTACAGTGCCAGCAACCTACTGATACCTGATGCATTTATATTAAAGTCATTTTTCCTTAAATACCATTCTTAAGAAAATTCCATCGTCGACCATATATACTTATTCTAGGTGATCTAAGAAGCAGAATACAAAGATATCAGAGATTTTTACTGCCTGTTCACTAGAGGAAAAAAAAATGTATTTTGAATATGCTTACCTGGTCTTTTATCTCCGTGCAGTGAAACATGCAGGAAACTTCTCCCTAGGGTGCATGGCAAGAGCTAACCCAGGGCCAAGGACTTAGTGAGCTCCATGAGAAAACTGCAGATATTTCTATTTCAAGTAATTTATTTTGAGATTTAATTTAAAGATATGAATGCAAAGACCACAGGCTGCTATTTTAATTCGGTGTATTTGGACCACTTACTGTTAACGCTTTATTTCTTGGAGACATTAACTTATTCTGTTTGATGTTATTGGTTTTATTAGAATGAGGTGCATTTCCATGATGTATCCTAATAATATATCAGCAGAAAGGCAAATTTTAAAATGAACAGTCCGCTGTAGGTTTAATACATATTTGTTTTAATAATCCCTTTTCGTTCTGCAAATGAGAGAGCAAATATTCGCATACTCATTCCTCCTCCACTGTAGTATGTCACACTATATAACATTGCATTAATACTTTCATGCTTTTAAATTAAGGTTTGAGTTAATAAGTCCCATTTTTATTATCTTGCATGAACATTAAAAATTTGTGCTATAGTTTATGACTATCATCTTATAGATACAAAAAGTAAAGTTCAAAAGTATTACATAACTCCTCAAACATTACATTGCTAACAAGTAGCAGCATCATATTTCTAAATAAACTAACCATAAGCTATAGCATAAAGAGGTCTTCTACATTTTGAGAATTGTAGCCAGAAGAACTAGTGTAGGAGAATAAAGCTCAATTTAACACACATCTTTTGAAAGACTTGGAAAATAGGCACAAGAACCAGCTAGTTATCCCATTTTCCACTGTTAATGGGTGGTTGCCAGTGGCATTGACAATACAATTCTATTTTAAACTTGTACAATAATTTACTGTTTAAGATAATTGAGTAGAAAGCAAGAATGTTGCATTGAGTTACAGGAATCAAATCCTTAGGGAAAAGAAACCATCTTTATAATCCTGCCATTGTTTGTAACTAGAGATGGACCACACTTCTCATAGAATATGCCCCTAATATTTTACTCAATGTTTATATTCAATTTTGCCTATGTTCCGTGGCTAATTTTATAATATATGAAGATAATTATATCAGCCATATAGCAATTTATAGCCTCTGAGAATAGAGTATGTCTCCTTGTTCAATACAATTTAAGCATAAGACTAGTTAAATTTTAGCGGTTAGTGTATGGAAGCAGAAATAAAAGGGGAAAGAATAGCAAATAGGAAGATTTCTTTCCAGTCATCAAACTCTTAAAGGAGTCGAACACAGTCCTGACTTTAAGGAGTCTTAAAATCACAAAACATTAACAGTGTAGAATGACAAGGAATTCATATTTGCTGCCACATTTTTATTACATAACTATAGATATAGCTTCCCATTTCAATTGTTGAATATGTTCTCCTTCTGACTGAATCATTTCCTCAACTTGATATATTTGGGTTTATTGTTCTCAAAAGCCTATTTTTGCTGCTTCATTTATAGTTGACCAATATCTCTTAGGAATGGCATTAAAAAGTCAAGATACTATAGTAATTAAGTGATCTACTTGAAAGTGTTTATTCACTCTTGTTTTGATAGTTCTTTAAATTAATTTATGGACTAAATGTACTGTGTGTTAGTTATCTGTCTCTGCATACCATATTACCCACAAATCTAGCAGTTTAAGTTGATAAATATTTATTATTTCACATTTGGGTCCAAAATCTAGGTGTGGCTTATCTGGGTCCTCTTATTCTGGAAATCTCACAGGGCTGCAGTCATCTCGAGGCTCTTCTGTGAAGGGTCCCCATCATTGGCAGGACTCAGTCTCTCCTGAGCTGTTGCCTAGAGACCTTTCTTACTTCCTTATTCTTTGAGCTTTCCCAGAGAGCATCTTACAATATATCAGCTAGCGAAGGAGGGGGCATAAAAGAGAGTACCAGCAAGAGAGAATGCTAGCAAGACGGAAGTCAGAAAATTTTGTAATCTAGTCAGAGAAGTGATATCCATCACTTTTGACTTTTCCTTTGTTACAAGTGACTCATAAGGTCCAGTTCATACTCAAGGGAAGGGATTTCACAGCAATGTGAATACTGTTAAGTGAGTGGGAATTATCATGAGTCAGTTTATAAAGTTGTCTACCCGAGAATATACGTTTATAGCTTTCAGGAAAACAGAATGTGATTTCATTGTTAGTAACTTACCTCTTCCTTCATTTTAGACTATAGACTGCAAAGCAAGCATACAGTGTCAGTCTCTACCACCAAAAAGCAACAGTAAATATTTCCTTATTTTGAAGTAATAGACATGCTTTACCGCAGTGAAAGCAAGAAGAAAAGAACTGAAAAAAGGCAAAGTTTCAGTCTTGTGGTTCCCATAGAAGAACAAGTCTCTGAAGTTTGTTATTTAAGAATCATATATGCAATTTTATAATCATTGAGGATTTTCTGTTTATTTGTTATGTTATATGAGATTTTCAGATTGATTTAGTTTTACCCATCACATAATTATAAGACCAGGTCAATATTTAGCATATTATAAATAATACATGGGGCAAAAGTAGAGATGAATTATTTGTTCCTACCTTAATCAAAGATTGATTCTCTGATAGTGTTAAAAAATACAGCTGAATTTTGGCTCTGTAATTTTTTGGAGATTTTACTATTCCATAAATTGATTTATTTGAACTTTTC